TTGACATGAACAGACAGCAGCACTGCCTCCATCCTGGCTCCTCTGGCACACATCTCAATGCTTCAGCTGTTTGTTACCTCTAGCTGAAGTGAAAGCTCAGATTCCACCTAACACCATCCCCTCAGTTTTAGCCAAACACTTTTTAAGATGCTAATTTGCAAGATCCTGTGTGCACAGTTACATCTTCCAAAAGAAAGAAGAGTTGAAGCAAAGAGGTGAAGGTAGTCTGTTTGTATCAGCTCCATCCACACGCAATTTTATTTCAGCTACTGCAATGACTACAGGCATGCAGGATCTAAATAAACAACAAATGCCTTGTGCATACTTCTTTGCATTTATTTTCTCACCTTTCCTCACTTTGACTTGTTGTTTGGTCTTAACACTTGTTCTTCCTCTAAGGATATGTAGATATCCTCTTTGAATGATTTTCTCTCTCACCCTCTTTCCAACCACCCATGTGACAAATTTTCTTCTTCTGTTGGTCTTGCCATTATCTCAGAGCCCCGAAACCACATCCTTCTGTTTCATCCCTGCTCACACTTTCTTTTTGCAGTTTACTGCTTTCAGAATCTCTACCTTTGTTCCCCTGCTTTGGAATTTTCCACTCCCCAAATGCCCTAAACATTGCAAGGAAAATGAAGAGTCTCCTTTGACAGTCTGGAGATGACTTAATGACCTTCTGTTGTCCTTGGTCTGAAAGATGACATAGCCCCAGCTTCACATCCATGAGGTATTTGGAGGTATAGTGATTGCATTAGACCAATCAGTATTCCTGTGATGTGTTTAGACAGGTTCCCCAGTTGCCACACAAATATTTTGAAAGTAATCCATTCCTGTGTCAGAAGTGCTCTAAGGCCTCAGTGTAGGAAGTGACAGGACTCTATTGTTCAGCATAACTGAATCTGGGCTTGTTCCACCCTGTGCTGACAGACCAGCAGGCTGAGCTAAGAGCACACATCTGCAGCACTGGAGCTGTACCTTTACCCTCCTGCTGCTGTGCAAGAGAGCTGTATACTAGAGCTTGCTAAGTAATGCATCTAGCACTGCAGTTTGGCTGGGCACAACTGATGTATTGCTGTTCTGGAGCTGACAGACAAATGGTATCAGACTGAAATGAGTAACAAGAGGGAAGTTTGTCCATAAAGCTTCTCACCACCATTCAGATTTACTTACAGTACCAGGGCACTGCACCAAGCACTAATGCATAGGGGAATGTGCTGCAAAACATTTACCTTGTGTCACTGCCATCTGTCTAAAGTATCTGGGCTAGCAGCACCTGAACTGCAAGTTTAGATGTACAGCTGAGACAGCAGAGAGCCCAGAGGGCTCCCCAGATGGAGCTCCAAGGTTGGCCTAGGTTACCCAACCCTACAGTAGATATGCAGGCATCTGAACACTACCCCAAAAATCATTCTGCCAGTTCCTTGACTTGAAGAATCTTCAATCATGACAAGAACAAAGCAAACCCAGAACACAACTTGCATCATTCATTACAGTTTCATAGAATACCCTAATTATTTAATGGACTCAGAGATTCTGTTTCCTTCCCAGCCATCCATTTTAATGACTCCATCTTGGTTTGTCTGGGCCACTCATTCCCCATCTGCAGGTGGTGGTGGGATCTGCACAACTCCACTTGCACTAATTCTGTTTTGGCTCTAGGTTTCAGACCCGTATGCCTCTGCCTGAACAGCATCCACACAAGCAAGACAACAAAAACAAGCAAGAACTTGTTCAGTAAATACATTTTAGTCAAATGACGTGTTGCAATACTGACAGTTACAGCTAACTAGCCGTAACAACATCCCTTGTAAAACAGGGAGCTCAGCAACAGGCTGGGAATCTCCTCTGGCTAATATCAGAGGAACACTGCTCATACATGCTGGTGGAGGGCCTTATTTCACCTCCCAGACAAGTCCATATTCCTTATTTTTTTCCCCCTGCACATATGAAAGTGTAGAATCCAGTGGAGCAATAGGTGAGAATAAATCACTATAACTGACAAAGACCATTTTTACTGTGAGCCTTCTAGCTACTATAATTAAGGATTTCTTCTGTCTTTTCCTTCCTTCCTTTTCTCCTTCCTTTCTACTTTGTCACTTGCGTCTTCAAGGTTCACAACGTGGTTTCAGTCCTGAGTTCCCTGCTAGATGCCAAGTTTCAAAGTTCTCAAAGCACCTATCTAGGCACACCAAACATTATAAATAACATTTCCACATTTAAGCTAGCTGGATCCTGAGCTAACCTGGTTTACAGCCATCTGGAATTCTTCAGAAAAAAGTGACTGTTAGCATTGTAAACAGTTTTGTCTTCACAGAGGACACCAAGAGTTTCCAACTTCATTGCCATCTTCATTTTGTGATCTGGGCTGAAGAGCAAGGTATAGATTTAAAGTAGATGATAATGCAAATAGTATTAATAAAAGAAACCTCAGAGTGATCTGCCTTTCCCTAATAAGGCAGGCTCTATCAGTGTCCCAGAGGCAGCAAGGTGCCAATACAATTAATCAGTCTGTTTTTAGTTCTCTGTAGACAGCAATATTAACAGTTTGTTTCAGTCTGTTTATATGGGCCTGACAGGTCTTCAAGATGCTGTGTTCACTCTCTTGTGATTAATAGTCATTCACATACTAAGGTGAAGACCAAGCAGAAAAAGAATGTTTTTAGAGGAGGACAGATAACTGGATTCTCTCTCTCCATCTTTCACTTTTAATTAGGAAACAGTACTAAATTTAGGAATGCTGTCTCACCATATTGTTTAAACTCCTCCTTTTTTTGCAACTTGCCCCTGGGATGAGCCAAAGGAAAATTTAAAATCACATATTTTGTTTACTTTTCAGCTGTGCTCTACACTGGTAGTGAACATCTGCACACTGGGATACTGGATGAAGGCAGCAAAGCCATTGGGAGCATTTTGTGCAAGGAATAAATCCTTATGGGAAAAGAACTTCCTTCTTCTCATCTCTGCACACCTCTTAGATGACATCTGAGGGAACAACTGAGCACCAAATTCACCTCAATGGAGATTTCACAAACCAAGAAGGAGGCAGACTCTAAAGTGTGTACTGTACATTCCTTCAGGGGCTTTTACACTTGTAGCAAGTCCTATCCAACTGGAGATGCTTCCCCAGTACAAAACCAAACCTTTCTTGGGCTGGGGCCCTTCTCTTCACCACACAGCTTTAACTGCAGATGGTGTGAAGAATAAGAAAAAGGAGCATCAGGAGCATTATTTCCCAGTTCTCCTTCTAGTCGTTTCATTTTGACACAAGGAGGTCTCCTCTCTCCTCTCTGCTCCAAAAGAGCACGCTCACATTTCTGTGATACATTTTGTCCACTCCCTCTTCTATTTCCTTAGCAATTGTCATCTCTCCATTTTGGAGGCAGATTTTGGGTTATTCCTCTTTTGTCCTGATGTTTTCATTAACACAATTCCCTGAGATTTTTTTCCTTGTTTGAAACTCCTTCTCCTGGCTTTCTGTGATCCCTTTTTTACCTCTAGTCAATTGATTGCTATGCTAGGCCTCCTTTGAACTCTCTTCTTTTACTGTCTTACCCAAGCCCACTGAATTCCTCGCCTCCTTCTGCCTATTTTAATGAGAGAATTACTTTTTTCAGTACTAATCAGAAAGCATAATTTTCTTTCTTCTACTTTTTCTGAACAACCTTCAAAAATCTTCTTTTCAGTTTTACTGAAGAGAATGGCATCGAAAACCAGCTCTGCAAGAAAATACCATCATTCTCTGGAGTAAAAGAAAACCATGCTAATTTTTAAAATGCTGTAAGCTGCCCTAGCAAATAATAGGAATTGAGTAGTAACACACAAACACACATTAACCCACAGTGCAATGCTCTCCATAAACCTGTTGCTGAATCCTTCTCCTACTTGTTCTAGGTAGTTCATCAAAGCAATGACACAGGTTATGTACCAAACAGCAGCCCAGCTCTCCTTACCTGGGATAAAAACACCAGTTCAGTCTCCTCTCCCTTCCAAAGAATTCAGGTCCCTAGAACACCGTGTTCAAAATACAGTTACTGATGTCACCTGCTTCCTTGCCCTTTGGCAGCTCACCATTTCAAAGCAGTGACTTTCCTACTTGAAGTCTTGTCTTAAAAACTGGGGTACAAAAATGCTTACAGATCCATCAGGTCAGCTGCATGTGCCCAGAGCCACTCACTTCACAGTATGGCATGGGCAGACACATCTTTCCATTTATTTTGGAGATCCACACCAAGAACTACTTGGCCTTTTTAAGAGCACAACAGTGGCTTGACAGTTTTAAGAAAATTGTTCATTTTTACCTTGTTAGAAAAATGCAGTAGCAGCTGAATGGACTAAGATGAAGTCTAAAATGAAGTTCAACTTTCATAAAACTCCTGTTTTCACCACAGCAAACTCAATATGAAACACCGTTTGCTGTGCTGTGACCATGCATTTGCCAACAAACAAAACATTCAGTGCAGTCATCTCATGGATACTGGCTGAGCAAGAGACCAGCATAAATCATGTGCTGGGTCAGGTGCCAGGGGACTGCATCTGACCTCTGCCTTTGGCAAGGTCATACCAAGAGGAGAGCAGAGGTGCTGGAAAGGTGGTTGACTCTGGCCCCCCTCATGCTTTGTCACAATGTGAGGTGTTTCAAAGATCCCAGCAGTGATTACCTCACTGTGATGCCATGGCAGGGGGCATGAGTTAGCAGATCTGACTGAAAATACTCACAGCCAGAAAGCCTGAGGAGGAGTAAAAGATGCTCACCACAATGTGTAATGCCCCAGGGCTAATACCTGTCAAGAACAATTTCAGATATTCAAACCCTAACACATCATTTTCTTTGGCAGAGGATAACCCAGCTTCCCAGGGAAGTCAGATACAGCACAACACCTTTCTAAATGGGTAATGCCTTCAGAACCAGAGTGTGAGAGAAAACAAAACAGGCAGCAGGAGAGACAACATGCCAAGGAAGCTCCATCCTTGTGCTGCAGGCTGGCTGTGGCTCTTACCTCCTACGCAGATCCTCAGCCACCGCTGCCCTGCAGCTGAACAAGTAGGCTCGCAGGGATTTCAGCTGCTGTCGCAGGCGGACAACAATTGCCAGAGGTTCAGCATGACTGTACAACATGGGATTTTCCTGCTGGATATCAATTAATGGCTCCTCATAAACATATTCCAGGAACTCTTTGGCTTGCTTTGACACCTAAAAAACAAAGCAGTTTAGTTAGGCTTTTCTCCAAACTCTTTCTAAGCAGATCTCCCCCTCTGTGATCTGTCAGCTATTCTATGCATCTGAAAACTTAGTCTGTTACCCATTAAAAATGGAGACAGAGTTGAGAGAGATCCAACTCTCTCTGCTTATGGCCAAGTCAAACTTCATCAAGCCCTTCAAAACTGAATGTATGAGATAGCTACTTACCCAAAGTGCAGTGATATCTGCAGTCACATATGCTTTTGCTGCACAGTAACATAGCTTACTAGATTTTTTTTCAAGTCTAAAATCTGAATAACCAGTTTCCTTCCTGCTAATATTTTTCTGTTTGTTCACTGCTTTCTTTTTGGCAAAAGTCAAGTTGTTGTGCTTTTTAAAATATAGATAAATAAAACTGAATCTTATTGGTATTACTCCCAAAGTTCCATCTGCAAGAAGTTTTTCATGCATTTTTCATGATAGTGCCCTGTTTTATCTCCACCTGCAAAAAGCTACTGTAATCTCAATAAATGAACGGGACTCTTGTTCCTTAAGTGAAAAGGCCAAATTCCCTCTCATTCTCGATTTCTGCATTTTATCACAGCTGGAAAAGAGAAGACATGAAATGAGCTGCAAATCACCTGAAACTCTGCTACAGAAATATTACTGGTTCCACTATTCAATGAGTCCTCCTGGACCTCTAAGTCAATGTTTACACTGAGACAAGGGAGGGATGAGTTAGGCTAACAAAAGTAGAAAGGGCACACATGCTACAGTCTCTTGAGATTTAGGAAGTTATTTCCCTTCTGGTACTGTAGGTAAGAACAATACACATCCTTATAAATAGCACCACTTCCAAAACCAGCACCAGTAACTACTGACAGGGGAAGCAAGCCCCAGATGTAAGCCTTTTACAACATTTAATACAAAGCTAAGAAATATGCCAAGGCCAGCCTTCCACCAATAACTACATAGAAAACAAGATGTGCCATTTTAACTGTAGCAGACCATAACTTCACACGTTTCCAGGTCCTGAAGCTGTATTAAATATCCCACCTATTTACATTAAGCACCTCACTAATTTCTTTTTTTTAATATCCTGCATGTACAAAGAACTGTGCCATCTGAGTAGAATCAGAGCTAATGCTGCAACAAAAGCACCTCAGATTTTGTAGAACAAATTCTATAAACTCAAACTTATCAAGTTTTTTAACACTAGCAACATTGATATTTTATTATGCTTATTGCAGTGCATTAAAAAGCTGCAGTTAAACAATCTGCTTTTACAATCATTAACTATCTACTGCAATATCTCAGCAATCCCTTGGCAACTTCCGTATCTATAGTAATTGTTAGTCCTCTTCCACCAAGGAGCAAATTAAAGGACGTATTCCATGATTCCTGAGGAGGTGTGTGAATGCCTGGCACAGTGACCAGCTCCTCCCAGCAGGAGGATCAGGTGCTCAGTTCTGTCTTTGTCTCCTTGCTTTAAGCCTCTGTCAACGTGATGGGCTCCTCACCCACCTGCCCTGCTGTCTTGAGAGCTGGGGGGTGGTTCCTGTCCACCACTGCACTCACATCTGTGCACACCTGAACCCCACACTGGGCATCTCTCCTGAAGCATCAGGAGCACAGAAACAAAGAGACACCACAACTGAGGTCCCCTGAGTCACTCTGCCACATGCCTGCACTAAGGTGACCAAGCACTACTGTGCAGCTGCATGGTCTGAATGCAGCCTTTAACAAGAGAAGGGCAAAGCAAACCTTTCCCTCTCTTGCCCATAAAATGCACCCATGGAGTGCTGATTGCAGGAAAAGCAGCTTTGCCCAGCATCATTGGCTGACAGGTGTCAGTCCACTCTACATGGCAGAACAGGCACACACATCTTGTAAAACATTAACTCACATTGCCAAACACAGCTATGTTATAAGAAGCTGAAACACAGTCTAGAAACAGGAAGGGTTGGGCAGTCACAGTAATTCAATATTTTAGTATACATCCTAGCATACTCACAGTCCCCCAGTTTTACTGGGCAGTAAAACAGTCCTATTAAATCAGCCAGGAGTGAGAAGATGCAAAGTGCAACAGGGTTTCAGCTTTAAATGTCATAAAAGGATGGATGATAACATTCCAGACCTTTCCTTTCTAAAGCCTGCAAACTTACAGTTCAAAATTCAATTTACCACAAGTCAGCTTCTCCTGAAACGTTCTGGCACAGGGAGTTCATTTCCTACTGTGTTTGCCTGGCATTTTGTGCAGGCTGAAAGCCACCTGAAACAAGCTGCAATATTTAGTGGGCTTTGCATGCAAACAGGGAAAACACTTGGCCGAAGCAAAAGGAAGGAGGAGTGTTCACAGAACTGCCTCTTTTCTTTTGTCACACAAACACATGAAAAATACAAATATGAAAACAGTAGGAGACATGGGGGAAAAAGCAAACCTGGGCACTGAGCTGCAGCTTTGGTTTGACAGAAGAAACATGTCTAACTGCCAAGTCCTTTCAAAGAGCTTCTACTGTAGCCAAGAAGATTTCTCTTTTCCTACCCATGTGCCACCAGATGTTAAGTGCATTGCTGTTCTTCAGGATCCTGGGTATGGGAAGAGACAGCTCAACAGAGGTTCATTGTTTCTGATTTTCATGACCTGTCTTACCAAAAGCAGACAAGAACCTCTCAATTTCCAAACTAAATTGATGCCACAGCTTATTTTACAGCTGCTGAGCTCATGTAACATAAACAGAATACCATGTATAGTTACACTGTAAAAGCTCATGTCCTACAGTACTTTCTGGTGCTTGCTTTACCAGAAACAGGACAGACCCCAGAAACACCTGAGGAGGCAGGGAATAGGTGGCAGTGGAAAGGAATGCAGGTTTGCAAACTCTTCATTCAATTTTGCTTCCCATTTGGTGGACTGACAGACACATTTCAGACTGTGTAAAAACAAAGCAGTTTGTGAATCCTGGAGCCCTGTCTCAGTCCTGACCATCAAATGTGGCATGTGCTTATTTCCTGCAGGACCTCTTTGGGGTGTGCAGCCAGGAGCACATCCTCCTCTGCAGAAGCTCCGCTTCCAGGCAGTGCTGTGCTACCTACAAGGGGCAGGGCAGTGTGCTTATCTTCACCCTCCCTCCCTTAGTTCCTGCTGATGTTGTTTTTTCCTACCTCAGGGGTTGTGTTCCTTTCTTAAATTCACCTCTCTGAGCACTTTCACACAAAGACAGGTAAAGAATTTGCTTGCATTCCCAAGGCACCTCATACCTGTTCTGTCTACAAAAAGTGCAAAATGGAATTTCTCACTATTACAGTGAGATGACAATAGATTAAGTTTTCAAAGAATGCTTAAGCTTTGAAGTCCTGCTTCTTTTGGTGCCTCAGTTGCCTCTACCACAGGAAACAGATTAGAGCATAGTTTTTATGCTGCAGGTTTAGAAAAAAACCCAGCTAATTTTCTTGGCAGTATTACTGACAACTTGATACGAGGCCTTTGCCTTACCATCCACTAGCCCCATATCAGGTCTGCTTATACTACCACGTGGCAGCAAGTTTAGTCCTTGGTAAAAGCATCCAAAAAAAGAACTTTTAAATATTCCTAACTTCTAGGCATAGGAGGGCTTTTTGTTTCCACACCTTGGAGCTTTGCAACTTTGAAGAATCTTGCATTTCACAGAGCAAGACTATAATTTTCCTGATAGCAGGCTCTGGCCACCTTTTAATAATCTTCCCATCTGACAAATTTTCTTCAAGAGACCTGCTTTTCCCCTAATAGAGCATTTACTGGTTATTTTTTTCCTTTTCAAATAGCACATAATAATAATAATATTTGCAGACACAAAACATCAAACAGCCTCTCCTAACAGTGGCTGCTAGGTCTGAAGCTCTAGCATGGTCTGGATTCCTTATGAGCCTCTTATTCTTTCAACATATATTGCCTGAGATGGCAAAACAACACTGTTACTGTGTTTGCTGGTATAATGCTTTGAGGCATGTAATCAGTGCCCCTATCTAGCAACCAGCCACCAAGACAGCAACAAATAGTAGATTACAAAAGTTTTAGAAAAGCTCTTGTGTGGCAAGTGAACAACTGTAGAATTTTCTTGTTGTGTTACTTTCATCTGTTTGGTTCAATCAAGTGCTGCAGCCATGTCCTTCTAGTGTCCTCAAAATGCTCATGCCAAGAGACAGGACATACTGGGCCTCACAACCATTGCATTTGGTAAGCCAGTTTCCTATAGGTATTTCCACCATTTAGTGGATTCAGTAAGCAGTGCCAATCTTTAGTCCCTGGTGGTCATGAAACAGGTACTCCTCAAGGCTCCAATAACTGCAAGAATTAGAGCTGTTGTGTGCTACCTGTCCCTTGAACAGCGAGATAAGCAATGATGAGAAAGATGCCACCAGGAAGGAGAAGCATGGCTGCTCTGGTGGAGGAACACCTTAGATCTGGCCAAGGAAACTGTGATGAAAACATGTCATGTTGAGAGAGTGAGGCTCATTTTGTCAACAGGGAGAAAGGCAACAGTATTAGCAGTCAGTGCCTGCAGCCTTCAGGCTGTTGTGTTTCCATCAGCAATTCAGTTCACTTGCTAGCACTCCAGCCTGCAGGGAGATTACCTTGTATTTGGAAGTGTCCCAGTTATGAACCAGCCGTGCAGGGATAAGGAAGTTGTCATCCACATGGCAGGTGCTGCAGTAATACCATCCACTGTAGCTGCACACCTTGGCTTTCCCATTGGACAAGCCTATGGAGCGCTGACAGCCTACAGAAAAAAGAGGAGCAAAAGTCTAGGTTTGTACACCAAGCCAGAGATACACCTTCAGGATGGAGTCAGAAAAGTATTCCTCCATTTGAGATCCTTTTAATATTTTATTTATTGCACCCTAGGGATATTTCTCATTCCATAAAAAAAAAAAAAAAAAAAAAGAGAAATAAATATCAGTATTCCTGGACTAGCACTGGAAAAGCACACACTAACTTGGACATGTGTGACAAAGAGTTCAAACAGCAGTCAAAAGCCACTTAGCACTTCTCAAGAAACAAAGGCAGAAGACTTGCTTGTGAGACACTGGGCATTTAAAAGCCATGGCCATCTGAAAACCATGCCCTGAAGCTTAGACAGGCCACATTCTACTGTATGCTTCCTCCAGAGAACTCCCATTTTCCCCACAAGAGAATGGGCCAGCACTGCCTGCCTGCAGGGGTGCAAGCCAGCTCCTGCTGACAGCCAGAAGGGATGCTGACTTGGCAGGTAAGACTCAGCCATAGAATTAGCACAGCCAAGGCAAACCAGTCAGATCATGAATAATAACTGAGCAGCAGTCACACTGAGAATGAGTAGTTCTTGACAAGCAGTAGTGACACAGCTCTGTTCCCAGCAGGGTTTATTTCCTTACAATTGCATTACTCCGTGTCTTACAAGGTCTGAGATCTGCCTGACACTTTTTTCACAGCTAGATCCCTTGCCTCTTCCCATGCCCTCTTGCGTGGAGCCCCTGGGGAAAAACAATGTATTCAAAAGCTGCTGCTTTGGTTGGAAAGAACTAATGCAGACATCTCCTTCATCTGACCACCTGTTTTCACAAAACACATAAAAACTCAACATACTCGACACTTCTGTCTTTCAATGGTGACTAAAATGAGCCAAAAGGTTCATATGATATTAGAGTGGATGGCTGAAGTCAGACAGCATAGTCACATTTAACAATCTGCTCAGGAAGTGAGGCTAAAAATGTTTGGGTAAGGTACATCAAGATGTCTGTGGTTGTTAACAACACCTCTAGACACAGCTCACATGACAGAATTTCTGCTTGTCCTTCAAATGCCAGTGTCCCCACGTGACATTTACAGTTTCAGCCAGAGCACCAGAGCTCCACTCTGGCACATGCTGTATGCTCAGATGGTTTCTGCCGCAGCTGGTGAGAAATACTGAGTACCAGAATCTTTGTACATCACTTTTACTGCAAAAGCATTGGTTAAACAAGAGTTTTTAAAATAGAAGTCAATTGACCGATTGCTTTTGTCAATATAATTAATTTCATTTAGTGTAATTATGTGACTTCTCCAGCTGAAAGCATCTTTTCTCCTCAGCAGAAGTTACACTGATTTGAGAAAAGATTGCAGGTCAGCTATTCTAGGCAAAAACCTAGCTCCTCCTTTCCCACATCAAATGATGTCACCATGTCCCACTCTGCTCTAAAAAAAATCATTAGAATAACCTAACCAACACAATTGGCTCATTTCTGCCTCTTTCACACTCCAGAGCCACTTGGCCACTGATTCTCTGCAATACACACTACCAAGTGAATCAGTATGAGACCCATCCTGTTTCAATCTCCTCCTTCCCCTGCCCTCTTGGAAGAAGTAAACATATGAACTGGTCAGTTATGATAATTATGTTCATATCAGATAATTATGTTCATATCTTCTCCTTTACTCTTCATAAGATAAGGCCAGAACACAAATATTAATGAGTTCTAGTGATAAAACTGTGTCTGAATGCAAATAGTCTCCCAAGTCAATGTCATTGAAACCTTCTAAACATTCCCCACTACCCAAGACTTACAAGTCTGGGGATGAGGATGGGACAGGACATACTGATTTCACCTAACTAGCACCATGCATTCCACTAGCTGCTACCTTGTCTTAATGCCCTAACTCCTGTCTGTTAGACTGAAGGTAACAATAAGCACAAGTCCAATTTGAACTGCCAAAATTCTAGATTAAAACATTTGCAGTTGAGAAAACCACTTTAAGGCCTAATTTCTTGCCGCCTCCTAGAGCCAGAAACTCATTCCAGGCCATGGAGACAGTTTCCTCAGGAGAGGAGTGACAAAGCACAGAAATGCTGGGGGTCTTCTCTCCTCTTCCCTATATCCAACCCCTCTCAGGGTGAGGAGAGTCTCAGCAAGCAATCTTGGATGCCCTTCATCTTCAGAAAGGGTGGTTTTATGAAGAGGAGGAAGTGGAAAAATTTCTACCCAAGCAGTATGCATTGCTTTCTCCCTTGTTACAATCCTTTCCTGTGCCCACATTTCCTCTTTACACCTAGTATTTTTCATTCCTCTTCATATCCTCAAGAAAATATGCTCTGCAAAGCTACATAACAGTTGTGTAGCTGGGGTTTGTTAGACGATGTGGCGCTGGCACCCACTTTACATCTTCCCCTACCTTCCAAGCTCTGCTGTTTGAAAATCACCATCTTTTCCATTCCTCTCTGTTGTGATTCATAATGATGGCTATTTCTACAACCCTTTCAAATCAAGTTATCAAAGCACTGATTTTCTTTGATGTTATGCAGTTCAAAGTGGTGTAGTGTGACAAACATATTTCTGTGGCACAGACCACTTTTGCTACCTTGTTTTTTTAAGATGGAAAAAAATAGATCAAGAATGAGAGAGAAAGAAGAGGAAGAAGGAATAGCCATTGGCTTAATCTTGCACCTGGGCATTCAGGTACATCAGCTTGCCATGATGTCTACCAGAAGCAAAGCTAGTACTGATTCCTGGCTTGAAACCCCTGAGCAGCTCTCCCAGCAGACAACCAGATGTAGCTGACCACCGAGATCCACAACACAATTCAACAGACAGTTTAGGGTTTGGGAAGGGACCATGTTTGCAGAGAAAACATTTAATTGCCTACATAACTAGAGAAAGCACCCTGCAGAGGATGGGAGAAAAAAGCAGCAGAACTTTCACCAAATCTCTCTCACCTATTCCTAATGCTCACACAGAATATTATCTATATAGCATTTGTACAAAGGTGTGGCAAACCCCAAGCCTAATGCAAAGAGATCATCCCTCCTTAAAGAATGTTATAGAGCAAGCTACAGAGGGAAGAAGTGTAGCTGTAAGGTACACTGCTAGCAAAGAGAGGGAAGGAATCATCCCAAACCTTTCATCATGGAAAATACAACAAAACAGCCTTGGAATCAAGGAAAGAAAATAGGGGTTAGAAAAAATAGCAGCAAGAAAGTGCTCTTGGGCACTGATGAATCTCTCTCAACATATCTGTGAGCAGAGCAGGAGGATCAACATCAAGAGGCTCATGTCCAAGTGCGAAGCCTTCAGGAAGAAAACAGTACAGAAAGTGAGGTTAAAAAGTTGTAACAAAACTCTCTCCTTGACTTAAGGTAGTAGACTAGCATGGAGGAGGAATCCAAGACCTCTGAACACAATTCCTCTTCTCTGAAGCATGGAAAACACCACTTTCAGGTTGCTGCATACTCTTGTGGTCAAGGAAGACACACAACTATCCTTTTTATCCAGACACCTTTCTCTTTAATCTATTAGCAAGAAAAGACTGGAGCAGCTCCACAGTGAAACAGAGAAAGTGAAAGACCAAATTAGAATCAAGTACACAACTGTTTTCCTTATTCAATAAAGTTCCTTGCTTGGTAACAGGAAAAAGCAAGTCCCTTGTGATTGTGTGCTATAATTAAATCTGTGACAGATTAGCTTAGAAGCTAATTCATTTAGAAACAACATACAATACAAAGAAAAGAAAATGATCCACAGACTTCAAAAGGCTTTCAGCTTGATAAAGGTATAAAGCAGACTAAGCAGAAGGAGCACAGCAACAAATTTTCAGTGTTAGATCAGACATACAACATTGCTCTATCAGCTCAGCATCAACAGAAATAAGGTGAGAATTACTTCAGTTGCTTACCTTTATTCCTGTGCATCTATTCCAATTCAGTCCACCATGGGAAAACTCAAATTCACAAGGAAGATACACTGATGATCCAATTCAGTTCTCTCTTATGCCTACCCAGGTTTGCATTACATTTTGTCCTTTCCCCATTATTACTTTCCAGAGCAATTTTATTTCAACTAAATAATTAAAAACTTACAAACCTCCAAGCAAAGTCTGACACTACTCACCTTGCTTACATTTTCAGTGAGCTTCTTACGAACTTTAAAAAAAGACAATAAAACTGTTACAGATTAAAGTAAAAAAAAAAGTGTGTTGAAACCATGTGGGTTTGACCCTATCAAGTTGTAATTACCTAAATAACATAGAAAACTCCTAACCTGTTAGCAATGTACACATCCCACTTGAATTATAAACTAGATCAGCTTCTCCAGAAATAAGGAAAGGTACACACAACCAAAGGATGGTCCAACTGTTCCAAGTCAATGGAAACCTTGGCTATCAGCTATAGCTCAGGACTAAATGCTAAAATAACAGACCTTCCATCTTCCTTAGCACCATTTGAAGGTACAAGGTCTGTCTTCTTTTCTTACACATTCCAGCTCAGCTGACATCCTACCAGTGCAGGCTTGGTGGCTCTGGGCTGTGACTCCAGACAGTGACCATCCCACCCTACTGGAGATGTCTCGCAGGCACCCAGCTTCAGAGCAGCTCTCCAAAGCACATGAGAGGAATTATTTCCTAGACACTCAGACTTGCTACAATCAGCAAAGACTGGATTGGTGTAAACATCCAATATTTAGATGCCTGGGGGTAGGTGAAGTGACCAAAACCCTTTACATCACTCATGCTGAATGCACAGAGCTGTGACTTTCTCTGTGAAGATGAACAACCAAGGAAAAACCCCCATGTTGGAAACAAGTCAGGTGATAGCACATATGGGTGCACACACAACATTCTGCATGCCTGTATTGTGCATGTCCTTTGTAGAAGACAGCATACAGGCATGCTGCAGATAACACAGCTAAATTCTGCCTTCCCAGTAAAACCAATAGTAAAGTCTGCAAATATAACCCCAAAACTTAAAAGTCAAAGTAATCTTGCATTTCA